TCACGCTGCGGGCGGCCTGCCTTTCGTCTTCCTCCAGCTGCGGGAGTACAAGGTGGTCGGGCGATGCCTGCCCACGCCGAAATGCACGACCCCGCCTCTCTACCGCATGCGGATCTTCGCTCCGAACCACGTTGTCGCGAAGTCCCGGTTCTGGTACTTTGTTTCTCAGCTGAAGAAGATGAAGAAGTCTTCTGGAGAGATTGTCTACTGTGGCCAGGTGCGGGATTAAAAAGCTAAAGGAGTGGGAGATGTATAAGCAGTTCCAGCTGGTATATGTGGAAGGAATTTATATGGAGCATTGTTATTGGGGGTGAGGTTGAAATTCATTTATCCTTCAGTTGCTGTGAAGCTGACAAATTCTTTTTTTCCAAGTAGCAGTATATGTCCAGTAAACTAGAAAGAAACTTTTCAGAGTTATGAACTATGCCACTAGTCGGTGCTGCTGTCTGCTTCTTATGCTTGCTTCGTTGGGGAATATACCTCTTAAGAGCCATCTGGACATTCATAATCCTTGGAAAGTAGATATTTGTATGGTTACACTTCTCTACCTTGATGCTTAAAGGACAGACTTTAGAGCTGAAGTCTTGTGTGTGTATTTTTCTTTCCACGCTGAATTACTAAAACTCTTCACTCAGAGTTACCGAGGCTTGAATGTAGCTATGTTGGTGTGGGGAAGGAGAGAGCAAGTAGTTCTTTCTGACAATAAATCTTAACCACAGTGGTTTCATTAGAGCGCTAAAATATTTGTTCTTAAACTTGTAAAATGCTGATGATGTACTGTCTCTAACTACTTTTGTGATCTTGTGTAATTCCAGGTGTATGAGAAGTCCCCTCTGCGGGTAAAAAATTTTGGTATTTGGTTGCGCTATGATTCTCGTAGCGGAACTCACAACATGTACAGGGAGTACAGGGATTTGACCACGGCCGGTGCTGTCACTCAGTGCTGTAAGTATGTGTAACTGTTTGAGAAATAAAACGGTAGGACCAGTATGTAAGCACAAGGTTCAGTCTTAAACTGGGCATAAAGCGTGCTGACTTGATCCATGATAAGATAACTGAAACACTGGAAAAATAAAGTGGGGAGTTCCATAGATGTTTATGTATGATGTATGTGGTATCTGACTCGTTACCACTCTTTATACAGTTTCCTTAGCTGAAAATACTCCCACTTCATCTTGGTGTGACTTTCTGCAATTCTAGGAATGAGTTTTGCTATACAGACTGAGAGTTTCGCGACCTTTTAGGTCCTGTATATATTTCTTGTGCTATATTTATTGTTTTAAAATAATTGAGTATATCTTCCCAAGTCTTGTGGACAGAGTATTTCAGATACTATGTGGAACATCCTAGCATCTGTCCTTTGGAGAGCAATTAAAAAAAAAAAAAAATTACAGGGGAAAAACAAAGGATCTGTGTTGCTCCAAGATGTCATTGCCTCTGCTCAGGGAGAACTAAAGGTTGTCCTGATTCCAGCCTGTTATGTGAAGTACTTGAGGGATAGACCATTTGTATAGGTGATGCTGTTGATACTTGAATCCGGAAGTGTTATAAACACTACAGAATGCACATAAAAACCCAAAGAATATTGTTCTTAATAATGATATTCTTGTCATGTGTGCAAATATTAAATGTGTCTTGTCGCCTTTCAAAAGCTGAAGTGCTGTTGAAAGTGAAATTTAAGGTTCTACATTAACTTACAATAATTCCTGTTAATTAGCATACTGAAGGGCTGCTTAAGAGACCTGAGAGCTTAATTTGTCATGATAGAATTACTTTGATACCTTTATGTTCAAGAATACTTTTGACAGGTAAGTTTTTAATAGGTATGTTAGATCTTCGTGGTGGGAAGCATTGTAAGCACAACAGTATTTCAACAGGCATATCTTGTGGAACTAGCTGTGGACATCATGATTTGAAGGCAGTGCCGCAGGGAGGAATTTTCAAGTAGCCCATGTACAGATGGCTTCCTCCTGTTCCGAAAGCCTAATTATGTGGGCTAAATATCAATTCACGTTTCTGTCACTTGTCAATTTTAAGAAAAGTGAAGATAACCTCAGATCCTACCTATTTGCACCTTCCTTTTGGAAGGGAAATTTTTTTGCAGTTCACATGTCTTTCCAGTAATCTCATTTCAGTGTTGATTGTGAATCACAGTTTTCTTGTGCAAAAAATGAAATAGTCCCATGTAGATCACTTCTGTATGTGTGTACCTTCTTGAAATCGGGCAGGAAGAACAAGATGGCACTTTCTTGGAGGACTTGCAGGAAGAATTTGCTGCTGCATGTTGGTTCTGTGGTATTTCTGCCATTACTTCAGATACCAAAACCAGTGTGATTAAGTAGAGTTGATCAGAGATTTTAAAAGTTGTAGATGGTACTATAAACATTTCCTGAAAAGGTGGTAGTAAGATTTTTGAACTGAAAATGTCTTGAGATTTATTTTTAATGAGTTCTCTTGTTACAGACCGCGATATGGGAGCCCGTCATCGTGCCCGTGCTCACTCTATTCAGATCATGAAAGTTGAGGAAATTGCTGCTAGCAAGTGCCGTAGACCAGCAGTCAAGCAGTTCCATGTAAGTGAAGTAACACTGCAGTGGCTGGTGGGTCTGGGTCTAACATTGGACTGGGAGGGGGGAGCGCTCTTGTCTGGTACAGGTTTGCTTTGCAGGCAAAAATAGGGAGGAAACCAAACTTGCACGCGTAGGTTTACAATTATGTTATATTATGATCAAGACTTTTAATGCTAGAACTGTTTGAAAGAAAGTCAAACTAAAACAAACTCATATGTTGCAGAAAAGATGCCTTTAACAGGCATTTCTTTCAAAAAGAATTGCAAAACTAAGGCATCTGTTAGCTCCCATGAAGTATATCTGATCTGTGGATGCATTACTTCTCTATACATAAGTTAGCAGTTGAATATAGCTTAGCTACTTATTGCAAACTGTTTTCTGTTGTTCATCTAATATCTCAATTAACATAGAAACATTTTCCTTGCAGGATTCTAAAATCAAGTTCCCTCTGCCACACAGAGTTCTGCGTCGCCAGCACAAACCACGTTTCACCACCAAGAGACCAAATACTTTCTTTTAAATAAGAAAACATGCTATCAACTCTGTGTTGTAATAAAGGTCTTACTCGAACCTTTGGCTCCCAGTTGTCTGTTGGAAATAGTGTCCTGGATACCTAGGAGTTCCCCTTTCTGCTCTTTATTTTCTGTAAACTATTGGTAGCCTCCTGTTTGCAGCCATGATTGCCTTGAAACAGGTGAACGTTTCAGGTGCTGATTTAAATTACCAAAATAGCCCATCAATAAACCAAAATCTTAACAACCAGCTTCCCAGGTCAGAGTAAGGCTATTGTTGCGCAGCTATAAGATCCTACATTCATTTTGTCCCTTAGGCAGGCTAAGTAAGTATGGTTGAATTTGGGAAGAAGGCACCTTTTTGTGCATGCAGAACTCAGACTTGTCAGCTGTAGGAGTAAAGGCTTCGTAACTTCCGTTAAGCTACTTCAAGTTGTAAGCATTTAAAGCCAAAACTTCAGTTCTAACCTGAACCTTTTCAAGGATGTTGCGCACCATTTGGAGTTAACTCACGTACGCGTACAGAGGTGCCTGCACCTAGAAACGAAAAGTAACAAAGGGCTTGGCAGACTTATCTTTGATATTAGACCAATTGTTCTGATGAAAATTAATTTTTCTATCCAAACCCAATCCCTAGGCTACCCCATTTACAATGCCACAGTGAAAAGACTGCGTTGCAGACACTCTGTAGTTGAGGTTAATTAAAGAGGCTGCTTCACACCTAGAGCCATTTTTTGCATCTGGTGCCCATTTTCAATTAGCGTGTTTTGAGTGTTTCCTGGACAAGAGGTAGGCAGCTAATTGGTATACGGGTCTCGGCCGGAGTTGGAGAACTGATGCTGTGTTTTGTCTAGATGTCATCTTAAAAACAAACGCAGGTATGCGTAGAGTGCATGGAAATACTGTCCAGAGAGGAAAGTGGGAATGTTTTGGTTTTGGGGTAGCTGGAGAGCTGCAGCTCAACCAGGAGAGGAACTGCCTGTTGATGCCAAGCAAGAGCCTTGCTCGATGTAAGGGGGGTGGCTGTTCTGCAAGAGTTGGGCCAGCCAGTGCTGCCACAGGGCCTTGTGCCCTGGGGGCCCAGCTTTGCACTCCTCCTCGTGGCCTCCACGGTGAATGAGCTCAGGGAGCTCATCTGTCCAAGACATGATCCCAAAAAGAGGGTATTAATTTGGGCAGTTCATGATGTCCCAGTCGCAAGGGAGGGGGAACTAAACACAAAATGTTCGGACAAGCTGGAGGGTCCCGCGGGAGCCCCGCCAGGGTAATGCCAGAGGGTGGGAACAAGGCCACCTGCAAGACCTTGCGTTTTGGAACCTTTTAATCGAAAGAGCAATTTAGCGTGAAAACGGGCTTCCGAGTTAAGTTTCATAAAACCCAGCGCGGCAGGGTGGAGGAGAGCTGGTTACAGGAACCGACGCCAGCGTGGCCAACCCCAAGCGCGCCTCACGGAACTGGCCGGCCCGCGAGCAGGCGGTCGGGCACAGCCGGGGCTCTTCGTACTTGCCCTCTGGCTTTGGAGCCTCTAAGGGCTCGGGGCTTCCGGATTCTCCGCGTGAGGGTGCCGCCGGGACACCCCGGAGCTTGTGGCGTTGCTCGGCGGAGCCTC